ATGCCCGTGCACAGGGTTGTTCGCTTCTGGTTCTACACCTCAAGAGTTTTTGAAATTTTTATTTTTTTTTTCTGAGGACTGGTGGTGGGTTTTTAAAATGCCCTTTTTTTTAAGGCTGATTAATTTTATTTTCCCCCTGAATAGACACCTCACTACTTGACTAGACAGTGAAAACTGTACTTGGGACTCCGGCTATTGTTGTGGTTATCTGCCAAACAAAATTATTCTAATAGTAGTTTGGCTTTTAATTCCCAAGAACATGTCTACTCCCCAGTTAGTCTAAGAAAAGGTATTGAATTTGCTTTGAATTTGCTCTTATGCTTTTTTTCCTCAGGTGCCCAAGATCCATATCTTATTACCAAGCTATTCACAGCAGTGAAATGTTTCCTTGAAGAAATTTTTACAGATCTCATTTGACTATGTAAGATGCGTGTAGCCTGTGGAATGGGATCTTTCTGGTGCAGTCCAATATCCCAGGCACAAGGTGCCATTTTAAGAAAGTTACTATTCTAACCAGCAGTTTAGAGCAGCACATGAAACCCCAAACAGAACCAAAGCCCTTATTACCTTTCAAAAGATATGTTTGCATCTTTAACTTTTCGTAGCTCTTCTTGAACTAGTTGTTTGGCACGAATTTCTGCATCAAGGGCAGACTGTAATTCCAGCCTAGCTGACATATCCAACTTCTGACTGCGTCGCACTTTCCAAAGTGGATCCTGTTGCAGTAAGTTACTGAATATTAATATCAGCTGTTTAAAGATATTTCTATTCTTGTTAAAGACATAAAACAACTTTCACACTGGTTCAGAGAATGCTCTTTTAAATTACTTATGGATGGTATATCTGCTACATGGAAATCAGTCCATAGTCAGAATTTGTTACACAAAAATAATGAGCAATTTTTATAATGGTTAAACCACTAACACAACATGCTTGAAAACAAAAAGCTGGGTCACTAAGCATGGAAGTCAAACTGAGAGAAACCATTGAAAATGGATAGTTTTTGTTCTCCAAACTAGAAAAAGAGTATAAAACTTGCACAGTTACATACTGGACTGTCAAACATTAGAAAAACATAAATATTTCATGTAAAACATACTAATTTAAAACATACCAAGAATGGCAAAAACATGAAAAAATGAAATAATCCGGATCTTGAGATACCCAAGATACCTAGAACCTTTTCCTAAACAATTCTTACACTTGCTAAGTGGCATAAGCTATCTCTGCATACACCATGCAATTCTGCTCTACTACCCTCAAAAGCTTATTTTCTGAGCTTTTCCAAGCATTTTTCAGTGTGGACTACATTTTTGCTATTCCCTAATGGACACCTCTTGCATGAACTTGCAAATAACAGTCAGGAAAATCAAAGGCATTTGTTTACGTTGAGGTTCTGCTGAAGTTACCAAACCAGTTGCAATATAAAGAAGAGACAGTGTTCTCTATTCTGGCAGTAGCTAAGAAGAAAATGCCAACTGCATTTGATCCGATCTTTCTTTCTATTAAGCCTCTCAACATTATAATCATCCCTTTATGATGTAGGCAAATGTTAGTTCATAGGAAGTCATAACTTCCTCTTATTTTCCCCTATTCATAAGTTTGGAAGGGATGAGTAACTTCTTATCTGTATCAACCAGCAGCAGATTGTGCCTTTGCATGGCAGACTGTGCAGACTGGCACTGCTAGGGACGTGGGCTTCCATGCTTAGCTGCAAATGGCTCTCCCTTTCCTTAGGTAGGTATCTAGTACCTACCAAGGCAAAACAGTATTTTCATTTTTGAAACCATACTGGTTCGTGAAGAATCTTCTATTTTGCAGATTTTTGGGGGAATTCATGTTACTACTGTATGGGAAAATTATGGCATAAAGGTCTCATTGTTCTGCATGTACATAAAGCTACATGCTCCCAGTGTGTCACTAGTTTGTAACAGTATCAATCACCTAATACTTGTTCACAAAAGAAAACTTACTGTTATCTTACTGTAATGGCAATTAAAATTATTCACTTGCATCTAAGGTGGCAAGGTACATTTCTGTACTCCCCATTAACAGTTCAAGTTATTGTTTCTTCTCTGTACTGTTTAAAGCAGTTTGTGATGGCAGGTATTAGTATGAAACAACTGCTTCCTAATTATCAAATTCTGATCAGATTACCTAGATGAATTTCACAAACAATAGATAAAAACTAGAAAGCAGAGCAGAGGATTTATTAGAAAAGAATTCTGATTATGAACAGACAGCTGAAACTAAAAATGTAGCTTCTTAGACAGCCCCAGAACAGCCCAAGCGGTTGCTATTTTCTTACCAGTGTTCGTGAGCCCAGACTGGAACTTCTCAATGATTCTAGTTCTTCTGTCATCTTGGATGCTAATGCTTGGAGATAGCCACGAGCATCCTTCTCATCGCTTACCCTGTTGGACAATTACAAAAACTGTTACTTAACAGTTTCATGGCTCGTACCACCAAACAATCAGAGTGTCTGCACTGGATTTAGGGACATCACAGAAATGGACAGAGCTGGGAAAACTCTCCCAGCAACAGAAAACTGAATACATCTTAGATTGCCTGCTTTAGATTTTTCTTTTATCTGATTCTCTTGATCGTGGCAGTTGCTAGGGAAACTGAAGTTTTCCTTCCACCATCAGCAAGATTTTCATTGTTATTGTTCGAAATATTATCTGCATATTTCTTGCTCAATTTTTATAAAGGCTACCCTCAAGTCTTTCTGTAACATCCAGAAGGGCAGATACCTGCATCCTATGAATCCCTTCACCGTATCCCCCTCCACTCACTAGCTGAAATACTATTTCAGGCATAAATATTAGCCAGAAACTAGAAATTAATCTAATTGAAAACCACTGCCAAGCCAGTGGGTTTCAACCAAGGCCTTGCCTGCAACAACATTCAACTTCAGCCAGCAGAAGAATTTCAAGCAGGAGACACGTATAGATGACCAAATGTCTTGCATGCTGAAAATAGCAGCATGCTGCTGGTTTAAACAGCACCTAACAGAGGGAAGGACTGATGAGCGAATTAAGTGCAAGTGCTTGTCAAGTACAGTTAGTGCGGTTCTATATGTTAACATGGACCTTTTAAATCATGACATCCTCCTGAATGAATTTATGAAAATTAATCAATATTCAGAAGTACAAGGCCTGGCTATACATTAAAAAAGACAGTCAGAAGTTGAAAGTGGCCATCTTGATCTCTACACAGCACATACCATTGAATAATTTCTGCAATCTGAGCTTCCCAGTGAGCAACAGACTCTTTCTTTGCTGCTAGGTCTTGGAGCTCGTCTTCTAGCTGTCTGTTCTGTGCTGTTAATTTGTCCACAAAGGAGCAGAGCTGAAACAAAAGATTAATTTCACTCATGGCTTATGTCAGTTCCAGACTTTTTACGTATGTGTACGTCTATACATCCATAGAATCTGAACAAACAGGACCACCCTGCGCTATCTGGATGTTCTAACACAGACCAAAGAACTGGAAGTTACTATTTTCTTGTGGAACTGGAGACTAGCTCCTGAGCAAAGAACAACACATTGCCAGGTCACACAAAACAATCCAAATCAAAGGAAAAGAAGTAGTGAGTGTAGAGGCCATCAAGAGGAATAAGGCTTATCTGTAAGCCATCAGGAAGGCAGGCAGTCTTTGTAAATGCTTCCCTCTCTATACAGCCTTCATGAAGAAATCAGAAGATGGTGCCTCTGAGTTGTGGGAATCAATCCCACAAAAAACCCAATGTATTGAGATGGTAGTTACTATTTAGCCAGATTTGACATTTGCATGGTGAAAACTACATTTGTTTTATCCAGATATTGCCTGAACATCCACAGATCTCTTCAGATCAATGAGTAGACTACTTCAACATCAGAAAGTAACAAAGTAAGAATGTTTTGCTTAAAATTGTTTCCTAGAATAATTACCCTCTCATTTTCTGTTGTTAGCTTTTTGTTATCTTCCAAGAGCATAGATCTTTCACGCTCGTATTTCTCTTTCATTGTTCCTACTGCTTCCTCCATTTCACTGTGCCTAAGGAGAAGGACAAGAAACAGAAACACTTATACTGTAACACCACTGACCCTGTAGAGGGGTTTTCAAAAAGGAATATAGTTAAGGTGAAGTACCATCCTGCACAGATACCTATGCAATGCAATAAGCACAAAAAAGAAACCCATAATTAATGACTCACACCCAAAAGCTTACCTCTCTCGCTTTGTTTTCTCTAATTTATCCTTTAATATCATGATCTCTTTCTGCAGTGCAAGCTGATGGCTCTCTGAATCATGTACTTCCTTTTTCACATTTTTTACTTCCAAAACATGTGATGCTTCTCGTCGGACCAACTCCTCTTCATAAAATAAGATTTTCTTTTCCAGCTCAGACTTAATTTTGGAAAGCTCCTGCTGATGTTCTAGTGTGGCACCTGCTGCCCGGCCTCCCTGCTTCAGCTGCAGAAGAAGAGGAGAAACCATCAGGAAGAGACTATAATCTTTATATTTTGGGAACATTATTTAAACCTAGAATTGTCCAGTTGGTGGCACCTTGGAAATTTATCGGGGCACTAAGTAATTTAAAAGGTGCCTATCTCCAAGCATTCAGCCCCATAACTGATGCTGTGATTACACAACTCTAATGGGGCTCAAATGGGTTGCAGAGATAACAAATTTTGGACCACATTGGTTTAGTATCTGCTTAGAATTCATAAACTGGACATTTTCAAGACATTAGTGTCCAATGAGATATTAAAGTACTTCAAGTAAAAAACCCCAAATAAATCTGAACAGGTTAGGTCAGGCTTCTAGTAATGCTGTAGTTTTGATACCAAAGGTATCAACAGTTGAGCAAGCAAAACTATTGCAGCTCCTGTGCTATGAGTAAAAATTTGTCAAAAAACATGTAACCTTTAGAGCTTCCAGTTCACTTTCCAGTTGTTTGGAGAAGACCTCACTGTGCTCACGAAGCTTGCGTTCTTTTGATGCTTCTGCTACAACTTCTTCAAGTTGGGCTTCCAGCTGCAACGAAGGTATTTTTAAGTCACTTCAACACAAGATAGTGCTATCTGTATCATTCCTCCATATGAACGAGCAGGAAGTTTTTTCTTATTTCTATTTTGCATTACACCACAATAACAATTATCTCAGAATGCCATAATTGTTTTGCCTTCATTGATCCAGGCATCCGTCTCATGCAGTAAAACTGTTACTGTATGACTTTTTGTACCGACATGACCTACACCAAGTATGTGCAGGGTAACTGCACAGCTTCTACTAACGCTAAGAGAAGGAAACGGCACTAGGAAGTCATTGCAGTTGTGAAAGAAGAAAGCCTCCCACATTTACAGGTCAGCTCCATGCCTCGGTCCACTACGGCAGCTTAAAAACACTGACTTTTGAGCCAAATTATTGCAAAGTACATAAAATACGAACACTGAACACTTTTACCTTGCAATTATGGAACAAAATAAGCTTGATCATCCATTTATTGACTTCAGAAAGCTTATCAGAAAGACAATTTAGTGACAACTAAGGCAACTGTTGCAGTTCTAGCAATAGTGGCATAGTTTTAAAACCTGACAGGAAAAGTAAGATTTGTTTTTCTGTATTCAAATTCAACTAGCAAAGTTGTTTTTAAAAGGATTGTATTTAGAATAGTGGGCCAAGATAATGAACTTATAGACTATGTTCTGAATAGAAGATTGATAGCTGTTAGGAAAGGGAGAGCAGAGGAATTTGTAAGACCAAAGACAGGAGATTATAAAGCCCTGCACAGAAATATTTAACTGACTAAGCAACAACACTTGAATGCCTGCTGCACTCTGCTCTAGAGATGAGGTGCCACAGCCCTACGCATCAAATACGGTGCCACAGACACCTTTGCCTTTCCCAGTTAACAACCACTTCTTATTCGTGATAAAAGTCTGAGAAACTTCATCTCTTACTACATTTTCGTAGACTGCTTTTTAATTTGCTAGAAGTTTTCTAGCAATGTTTATGAAGCTCTTGAATTTCTCTTCTACATTTCACCCAGAGAATACATAAAATTTGATGATTTTTCAGGGATTAAAACACTCTGGGTTAACCACAATAGTTGTTTCTTATGCCCTCTTCGGGTTATCCACTTCATCTTCTGTAAAACCATAAATTGCCTAGAATACTAATTGGAAATTAACTTGCTTAAAGATATTACAGACATTCTCTACAATGACTAACTACAGATGAAGGAAAACCACCTATTTAGTCTAAATCACTATTCCTCCCTCCAGCTGAAGAGAAAATGCAGTAGAAAAAAAAATAATCAGAATACTCCAACCTTAAAGCACATGAAGGCATTAAGCTATGAGTCAGAGTCTACAAGAATCAAAACATGAGAACTAAGAATCTGGTCATATAGTAAGAATAGTTTCCCCCCGATTAAAATCAGCCTAAGTACAAACAAAAAAACCCAACTCATTTTGTTTCCTGATACATCAGTAAAACATTTAGAAACAAATTCAAGATTTATTTTGTGAACTGTAGAAAAGTTATATGGAAGAGTTACTGGGGCAATTTCCTTGGGCAATATCTTATAGATGGACAGAGTAAACTATTGTTAACAGTCTCAATTTTTCAGTACAATCACCTGTGAGATACTGGATAAGCAGCAGCTGAAACACATTATTATTAACTATTTTATCAAGCTACCTGTCATGGTTTAACCCCAGCCAGCAGCTAAGCACCACACAACCACTTGCTCAGTCCCCCTCAGTGGGATGGGGGAGAAAATCAGAGGAGTAAAAGTGAGAAAACTCATGGGTTGAGATAAATACAGGTTAATAGGTAAAGCAAAAGCCATGCACGCAAGCAAAGCAACACCAGGAATTCATTCCCCACTTCCCATCGGCAGGGAGGTGTGTTCAGCCATCTCCAGGACAGCAGGGCTCCATCACGTGTAACCATTACTTGGGAAGACAAACACCATCACTCTGAATGTCCCCCCCGCCCCTTATATGCTGAGCATGACGCCATATGGTATGGAATATCCCTTTGGTCATTGGGGTCAGCTGTCCTGGCTGTGTCCCCTCCCAACTCCTTGTGCACCCCCAGCCTACTCACTGGTGGGGTGGGGTGAGGAGCAGCAAAGGCCTTGGCTCTGTGTCAGCACTGCTCAGCAGTAACTAAAACATCCCTGTGTCACCAACACTGTTTTCAGCCAAAACCCAACCCACAGCCCCACACCAGCTACTGTGAAGAAAATTAACTCTATCCCAGCCAAAACCAGCACACTACCTCTTTTCTGATTTTCTCCGATTTACGGATGTCCTGTCGCATAGCATCAATTTTCTGCATGCTCACTTCCACCTCTTCTTCTTTGTCGCGGAGCTGACGGGATAGCTTCTGCTTTTGGGACCGCAAGTCTCCCATCCTCTCACTGAGCTCGGAGAACTCCTGCACAGCTAGCTTTCTTTGCTGGTGGGCATCCCTCAATTCTTTGGATTGTGTCTTTAATCTCTCTGAGGCTTCTACAAGTTGCTGGTTTAAATAAAAAAATATAATTATAAAGTCATTTGAACTCCGTAGATTCTTTCCGAGAAGAAAGGAAGTGGACCTACATAAGCATGACTTGAAAAGCTTAACCACCTCACATAATTTTTTAAATATTATTTATAATACTTAATTTACACAAAGGGTTGGAGTTTTTTTGGGTAAGCAGCAGCAACAACATACTAAGACAGCAGTTATTCTGCTTCTAGTGTGGCAGCTCCAAGAGTACCTTTGCTGTTCTAGAAGTCTTATAAATCTGACTACACAAGGCCACTTCACTGCTAAATAACTTAACTTCAGATTACTACCACGTACCTGCACAATAATAATCTTTTTATTAAAGGAATGTTTTAGCAGACAGCACATTCAATCAAATCCACTGTACCAGCACTGAGATGCTGCAGCAAATCTTGTGAAATTCTTCAGAAAACTGAGGAAGATTCCTTAGAACAAACTGTGAAGCTCTAATAGCTTTTATACTGTCAATTAAAGTGTTTCCTTTACAGCAAGTAGTTAACAAAAATTAAAAGGTTAAAATACAAATTGAATGTTCTACCTAAAATAATTTGAGAGAGAGGGGAAAAAATTTAAGAAAAAGGGCAGAACTAGACAACAGAATAAATGTATACTTGCCAAGGGACTTCTAAAAACTTCTACTGAATATTGCAGGAGCATTCATTAACCTCCCAAAAGGCATGTGTTCATATCAGGAGGAGGCGATTTGCCTTCTCCGCTACTCATACACCCTGGTGAATAACCCTTATAACCCTTATCCCTGATTAATGGACTGAAGAGAGACCGTTAAATCATAGTGGGCAAAAACCCCTGAGATTTTGGCCCATGGATTACTTTTGGGTCCATCTAAATGCCACGTGAACAATACAGCTGCTAGATTTTTCCAAAACTAGCTGTTTGAATATAGGTAGCTTTTTTGGTATTACTGAAAGTGGTATGGAGTATATGCAAACCCCTATTTACTTTACTGCAAAATATTTTGCTGACTTAAACTAAGATATTGTTCCATTTTAGGAAGCAAAGTGTAATTTACATAACAGTAAATAAACTCAGCATTTACACAGAAGTCATCCTCAGCCTTAAGCAATAATTAACCTTGTGGTATTACAAAGAGTAAGTGGGCTCAAGCTGGAGCAGTGACCTAGTCCTATTAACCCTTTCATATATATATATATATGAATGCATGCTTTTTTGGTATCTACAGGACTGATGACTAGCCATAGATCTGAATTTAACTCCTGTGTATATTGAAACAGCTAAGAATAATTAAACAGTTAAACTAAACCCATTCTTTATGTGTTTGTTCTATCTAGCAGAACACATTTGAAGTAAATAAGATGCCTATCAACTTCCAAAAAAGAAAGTGTGCTACTTTGGAAAACTTCTGTACTGCTAATGAAAGTAACAGGTTCATTAACATCTCAGTACAGTTTTTAAAAGCAGCATTTAAACCACTAAAATTGCAATCACAACAAAACTGTTCTATAAGTACTTTACCTGATCATTTTTAAACATATCTATCTTTGGATCTATACCTTATGAAGGTCCTCCTTTTCTTGCCGCAGTACTCTGCACTGTTTTTCTAGTCCTTTCAACTTGTGTATAGAGTCTTCATGTTCTTGTCGAAAAGCCACTGCATCTGCAAGCTGTCCTTCCAGTTTACTTATATCTGCAGATTAATACATATTAAAGTTAACTGGTCCCAAATTTACACCAATAAAGCAAGCAACTTTACTCGAACTGGCATCACTTTGCTTGGAAAAAATCAACTTTTTCCCCGTTCCCACAATTCTAGACAGTTTAACGTAATTTGAGGGCATTGACAGCTCCACATAATTTTAACTTTCTCAGCCTATTAAAGAAATCCTCCCAAAGACTGGGATCTCTTGAAGTGAAAAAGCCTTAGCACAGGGCTTTGTTTTGTTTTGAGGAATGCAACTCCTAGCCCTTGAAAACACTGAATTAAACTTGAGTTGTTCGAATTCCAGTTTTAGTAATTTATCTCCTAAATAGTTTTCATTATTTGACAAGCAAGGCTACTGTCATCAGTGCATACAGCAAGACAGGAGAGGACTATTTATTTCTCAGAGTAGACAAGAACTCACAATCTGGGAAGGAAATACCATCCTGCACAAGGCAGGCTGGAGACCCAACTGCCCATATTTATGGCAGTATGTTCTCCTGGTAGTTCTCCCTTTACTCTCAAATAAAATTAAACAAATTTGATTTGAAATTATCACCTCTAAGTACAACAGACTAACTACCTTTACATATTTCTGCTCATCTTAGAGCTGGTAAGAAAATTAACTGCCATTCTCCATTTGGTTTTAATTACTACCTCTTTTAAACAAATACATAAGAAATTGCACAGGGAATAACTGTCTCACTCAAGTTTCACTGACGTCTGTGGCAGAACAGGAAATTGGACCTATCTATTCAGGGATCCAAGCACTGCTGTAATGATTAAATTAATATTCCTTTTCTCATTTCAACACAAACATCCTCCCACTCTACACGAACCAATACTACTTCTTTTTAAACCAGACCATACAGCTAGTTTTTAAATTTAACAGGACACCACCGGCTGAAGAGCCGGATAAGCCTGAACCACTTTCAGAAGTAGCACCTTAATCTACCTATTTTGACTCAAATCTAATTCCAGAATACACAAGAATAGCTTTTTTTGGAAGGATAATCTACTTAAAGCTGAGTTGATTTTTGCAATGCATGCACCTACAAAAAGGGAGTATATCGCCAAACGGTAGAGGGGCGGGGGGGGGGGGCGCGGAAAACGCGAG